AATAAAATCTTCTAACTCCATATTTTATCAGGTAGAAATTGTAAAGTAAAAATATAAAGAAAAATACTTATCTAGTAAATTATGAAAAACTGGAAAAGTCATTGATCCTTCAAATATTGTTATATACAACGGAGGGCCTTGGAATCTAAAAGGTTGAGAACCATTGGTCCGGGGATAATAATAATACAAAAAAAAAAAACATTTGAAAATTGTACAAGGCTAGGGAAGCTAGGCCTCACATTTCTAATTTAGATTTTAAATATTGAGTCTCAATTGTACTCTGTAGCTCATCTACTTGTTACATAATGTGGTCTATGCTTGCTAATATTTTTATTCTCTCCACAGATTGGTCTTGACTTTACGCCCTGGTTTGCAAATACCACTCAAGAGCGTGACGAACAGATAAAAGTCTTCATAAAAAAACTTGAAATATCTAAAGATCTGAATTTGCCAGTGTGAGTTCTTACTAGAAAGTTACAGGAAATCATACAAGCAGCTCAGAAATGGCTACATGGTTTGCCAAATTTTAACACTACTTTGCATAGCAAAATATATTGTATACTGAACTGACTCTTCATTTTGTAGTTTCTTTAATGCTCATAACTCAGTCCATTCTTAAAGGAATGTACATTCCCGGTCAGCAGCCAAGGTTGCCATAGCCACAATGAAAGAACTAGGTAAGAGCTAGCAAATCATTGTGTCTCTGTGACCTTTGCAGTCGCAGCTGAAATTCTTGCAGAATTCTTCTTTTATGTCTTTAGGGATTAGACAAGCATTATTGCATAATTTTGCCAGGAAGCCATTGGTTGCTATGGAAGGGGTTCAGGCTGGATTCTTCTTCTCCTTTCTGCCTGTCGTCAACAAAAACGAGCAGGTTGGATAAGGATTCTCATTTAGTGCCATAAAGTTATTAGTATGATAAGCATGCAATAAAGACATATATTAAATAATGACCCTGTTCCACATCACATGCCATTCACTGCAAATGTTAGCACATTCTGTACATATGAATGAACTGGAAATTATATTTAAACTTATACAGACCTTATTATACACTCCTGGGTTATTTTTTTTCAACCCAAACGCTGGGTTGAGCATTTTCAGTGTTTGGCTAGTATTTGTGTTACCCAGCTCCTGGGTCAAATGTAACAACCCAGTGTTTGGGTTGTTTTGCAGCTCCTGGGTCAGACATAACAACCCAATGTTTGTGTAGTTTTTGTGTTACTCAGATCCAGGGTCAGACGTAACCCAGTGGTTGAGTTTTTATCGCGGGGATTTTGCGTCTTCACGAGAGAGCAGTTCTAAGCGCCATCGAATTGATGCATTCTTCGGTAAAATACAGGCTTGTGTACATTTTATTTTATCTATAAAATCGTTACTGTGCTGTATATCGTTCAATTTTATGCAGAGCAACATAGAGGCGAGCGGTGAATGAACTGGAAATTATATTTAAACTTATACAGACCTTATTATACACTCCTGGGTTATTTTTTTTCAACCCAAACGCTGGGTTGAGCATTTTCAGTGTTTGGCTAGTATTTGTGTTACCCAGCTCCTGGGTCAAATGTAACAACCCAGTGTTTGGGTTGTTTTGCAGCTCCTGGGTCAGAGATAACAACCCAATGTTTGTGTAGTTTTTGTGTTACTCAGATCCAGGGTCAGACGTAACCCAGCGGTTGAGTTTTTATCGCGGGGATTTTGCGTCCTCACGAGAGAGCAGTTCTAAGCGCCATCGAATTGATGCATTCTTCGGTAAAATACAGGCTTGTGTACATTTTATTTTATCTATAAAATCGTTACTGTGCTGTATATCGTTCAATTTTATGCAGAGCAACATAGAGGCGAGCGGGGTGAATCACATTTAACGAGTGTCGCGGTCTTTTCACGTGATGGAAAAGCCTGATGCTTTGCATAAAATAGATACAGAAAAAAGATACAGAATATAATACTTTGGATGTTAAAACATGTCCTCAGAGCTGTTTATTGTATTGGCAGGTTATGGAGTCACAGCATGTTTCGGCTATAGAGTGTAACGCAGGGCGGCGGTCCGTTAGCAGTTCCCCGCCGAACACGACTCCAGCTCAGCCTCGGGCACGAGAACCAGCGCCGTTACAGTGGAAACAGAATTACAGAAACTGGTCGATTACACGTGAATTACTTCTGTTTTATGTTGAATTTTTCTTCTAATGTTTGTTAAACTAGTTTAAATATAGGCAATATGTATAGCCTAAAAACTATATAAACAATGCTGTAAATGTTAAATAAAGGAAAATAAAGGAAGTTATCATGCAAACCAGTGGTTGTGTGAAGTATTTTAGAAAAGTTTAGAGGATTTAAGTTAATCTGTAAACATTATTTAATGTATGAAGTAAAAAAATAAGATAGTAATATAGTAAAATTGAATAAACCCTATTAGCTCAGTTAAATCAACCCATTATGCTGGGTTAAAAAAACAACACAGTTTGCTGGGTAAATTTAACCCAAGATGGGTTCTGTCCTATATTTACCCAGTCCTTGGGTTAATAACAACCCAAATTGGGTTGTTTTTAACCCAGTGTTTTTTAGAGTGTACAGACATGAAAGTTTAAAGGGGTCATATGATGCGATTTCAATTTTTCCTTTCTCTTTGGAGTGGCCTTCCAAAAGAGGACGATATCTGCTTCGTCATGCCTAGAGCTGATTCGTGGTGGTTGCTGAGGAAACACTACAACTTTGCGCTGTGGATCACCGGATCGGCTTTTACCGTGGATGAAGCGGAGTCCAGCCCGGGGTCGTCACATGTCCTTCCGGACGCTCCTTCATCGAAATCGCCGGCCGCGCCGTTCTCAAGCCCACCCGCCCTCACGCTAGCCCCCGGCCTCTACTCACTGTAGGCCGCCTCTGCTCACTCTAACCCTCCGGCCGTTCCTCACGCTAGCTCCCGGCCTCTGCTCACTGTAGGCCGCCATGTGTGGCGCTGTTTCGTGGTGAAAGCAAAACTACTTTGTTTGGCCTTCCAAAAATGGACACGACTAGAAATCAGTGGTTAAGTTGTATTTACAACACTGTTCCAGAACACTTCAACCCAAATATTCCGTCATTTGTGTTTTTTTAACCTTAAACCGCATAAACACATTTCATTACACCAAATACACAAAATAATGTTATTTTTAGCAACATCATAAGACCCCTTTAACAAATTTTGTTTTCATTAATATAATGATCCTGTAGTTTAAATGCATAGAGCAAAATGAATCAGATCCCACTAGAACACATTTGCCTCGAGACAGATTCTCCAGCCTTGGGAACGGACAAACATGTAAGTCCTAACCTGTTATAATATTAGAATATTAGAACATAACATGTAAGATTTTCTGTATGACTGAGATGTTTTGAAGCTCACTGTCTGTGTTTTTCTTATTATTATTCTTACTGCTCTAGGTTAGAAATGAGGCGGGAAACATAATGATCTGCTGTGATCACATTGCAAAAGTTAAGGGAATATCTCCAGAAGTAGTTATGGAAGTTACAACACAGAATGCCCTTCGATTGTTTTCTAAGTTAAAAACCTAGAATTATTATTCTTATATTATTTTATTTTGTTAATTAATAAAGTGAAGGTTTGGAGCTTTCAAGCTTTCTGCAAATTTACTGAAAAAGTATCATAAAAGGATCAGTTCGATTAATTAATGAATCTGTTAAGTTGTGTAAGCTGGATCAAAACCAATTCTTACGGTGGCCGAGAGAGCTCAACGCGCTGCAAATGAAAAAACCCCCGCATGCAAATAGAAAAAACGCCAGCAAATTAAGAAAACATCTTCATCACTTTGACAGCACACATGCTGCAAATTCTCACAACACAACCAAATACAGAAACGTGCTGCAAATTCTCACAACACAAACCAAGAAACACGCTGCAAATACAAAACAAACAAACAAAAACAGAAACACGCTGCAAACATGCACAGACCACATCGGAAATGTTTAAGGGAAGTGATTTCTTTGTTTGTGTTGTATTTGCAGCGAGTTTCTGTATTTGTTTGGGTTGTGAGAATTTGCAGCGCGTGTGTTGTCAAATTGATGAAGATGTTTTCTTAATTTGCTGGTGTTTGCATGTGTTTTTTTTTCATTTGTAGTGCGTTGTATGGAAGCCCGTTTCCGCCACTGAATAAAAAATAAAAGAGGTAATTGCGACTTTTTAATCTCACAATTCTGACTTTTTTTCTCAGAATTGCGTGATACAAACTTGCAATTGCGAGTTAAAAAGTCATAGTTGCGAGACATAAAGTCGCAATTCTGAGAAATAAAGTGAGAACTGCGAGATATACATTTTCAATTCTGACTTTTTTTCTCGCAATTGCGAGTTTATATCTCGCAATTCTGACTTTTTTCTCACAATTCTGAGAAAAAAAGTCAGAATTGTGAGATACATTTTTTGAGATTTTTATCTCGCAATTCTGACTTTATAGCTCGCAATAGTGAGTTTATATCTCACAATTCTGTGAAAAAAAGTCTGAATTGTGAGATAAAAAGTCGCAATTACTTTAAAAATTGCATTAAACATATGTAATCTAGCCTCTTACATTATCACGTTAACTCTGACAGAGGATTTTGCAAAAGTCTCCCACATTTCAAGCCCAGACTGAACCTAGCATACATTGATATCGCCGTGACATTTATTATATTATTTTAATAATATGGAATAAAGGGAAAAAAAATTCAAGAGCAAGAGGTAGGCCTAACATTAGCTACCAGACAAAAAAAGACAAATTTAGGCTACATGCTTTCAGCATGTTTGTTTTTTTTTTTTTATTGTTCCAGAATGTTTATATATAAAGTTTGTCTATAGTTTATAAAATGCAATAAATTTGGTTTGAGAATTAAGATACCCCCATTATGTATGGGGAAAAGAAAAAAGTGCCTGAAGCGCCATTCAACGCAGCTCGCATTGTTCCTAGTCTACTTAGCAGTGTAGATGTGCTGTACTGTAGGGCTCGCTCGCCTACTTGCCCCGCCCCATCTGCATTCTCATTGGTCCTTGCCAAGCCTATAAATCTACTCACTGTAGCGGTCGACGAGGGAAAGCGGAATAAGCAAATCCGAGGAGGATGCGCACATCACGCCATCATCACTCGCATGCTGCTGAAGCCGGTAGTGATCGGAAATGTGGCCCAAATTCAAGCTGATGATTTGTAATTACAGTGTCTTATTTGCGTTATTATCAAGTGGATCATCATCATCTCTTTGTCTCATACGCTTACCGCAACCGGAAGAGAATTACACATCTAGTCAAATTTGATACGAACTAGAATCGTGTAGGCCTATGTCTAAGTGAAGGGTGTTAATTTAGTCGAAATGGTGGCAGGTGAGGTTCTTCAGGAGCAGCATGTTCTGCCCGACAGCACACCTGACGGCGCTGTCACTGAAGGAAATACAAACGAGGACAGCGCCTACAAGGAGCTTTCCAATGGATCGGTCCGTATAACGCTGGATCCGAAGGTGCTGGAACAGGAGCTTCCACCACCGGACGAGAAAGAGGCGATGCTGTCCGGTGAACAGAGTAACGGAACGCTGGAGACGAGACTCTACTGGAGGCGCTTTGCCGTTCTCGCGGTGTTCAGCCTCTATTCGCTCGTCAACGCCTTTCAGTGGATCCAGTACTGCATCATTGCAAACATCTTCATGGGCTATTATAATGTGTCAAGCATCGCGATTGACTGGCTCTCCGTGGTCTATATGGCCACGTATGTACCTTTAATCTTCCCCGCGACGTGGCTGTTGGATAAGAAGGGGCTGCGGATGACGGCGTTGTTAGGGGCCGGGTTGAATGCCCTGGGCGCGTGGGTGAAGTGCGCCAGCGTGGGGCCCGGCCTGTTCTGGGTCACCATGACCGCACAGATCATATGCTCTGTGGCACAGGTGTTCATCCTCGGCCTCCCCTCCAGAATCGCGTCGGTTTGGTTCGGCCCGAGAGAAGTTTCCACGGCCTGTGCCGCAGCGGTGTTGGGCAACCAGGTGTGACCTGTAAATGACATGCCATTAACGATCAATTTGGTTAAATATTACTTGACATTTCACATATTATGTCATTTGCTTTTGCATTTAAATTTCCGTACAGCTGAGTCAGGTCAGCATTATTAAATAATTTCACGTTATTATGTTAAGTAGCATTTTCCCTTCTAAAAAAATATCATGCAAAAATGTTATCACTTTAAGAGATAGAGATGATAGCCTACCGGCAATTTTCTCTAATATTATTTTATAATTATCTTAAAGATATAGTTCACCCAAAAATGCAAATTGCCATTCCAAACCTGTATGACTTTCTTTCATTCTTTTGTGGAACACAACAGGGAATATTTTGAAGAAATTTGGTAACAAAGCAGTTTTGGTTTCCATTGACTTTTGTTGTATGTTATTATTTTGGCAGGAACTATGGTAGCCATGGTACATTTTTGTAAGGGTGCTAAGCATTTAAATGCACAGTAATATGAACTCTATAACTTAAAGTGTGACCTGAAATATTTAACAGTGTGTATTTATTAGTCTTAAAGTGTCTAGTGTTTTATTATTGTTTTATATACTGATTGAGACTTTGTGTAATATGGTCTTATTTCTCTTCAGCTTGGTGTAGCCATAGGTTTCCTGCTCCCACCTGTACTGGTTCCCAACACAGCTGACAACAAAGAACTCATGGGCCACAACATCAGCATAATGTTCTATGGAACAGCTGGAATTTCAACTCTGCTCTTCTTTCTAACAGTATTTGGTAATAACTAGTATTTACTAGGGTTGTAACGGTATGAGATTTTCACGGTATCTCAGAAAATATCGCGGTTATCACGGTATATATTAAACCATCATTCTTATCAGTAACAATGACTCTTAAAAGAACAAGAGCAAGTTATTTGAGTGAACAAATCCTTTATTAAAACAAACTTGAATCCATTTTAATGAAAGTATTGAAGTCTCCCTTCTAATTAAAAAAAAAAGAATGAATTAAAAAAACTATATAAAAAGTAAACTTTTATTTTGACGGGTTGTAGCGGACCTTTGAGTTTCAGAGAGTATTTGACAATGGTTTTTCTCAAATAAAACTAGGAAATGTTTATTTACGTTTTCTCTCAGAGAAGCTCTGCTCATGGTTATGTATCTTAGACGCTGAAAACAGCATTTATGTATGCCTACTTCAGTTTGCAGTAGATAAAACAGCGCCACTCAGAGACATGCAGAAACAAGCAGATTATTTATATAGCAGTCTCTTTGCGCTTTAATATTCACAGACACATATCATAACTACTTTCGACTTATCCATCCATCAGATTGCGCGTTTTACGTGACATCCTCGTTATACTGTAAATTCCATGTTCACGACTGCACTGGGATTCCCTCTGCATCACGGAAATCATACGGCCTCAACTTATAACTTTTTATAAATGCGACATACCTTTATCTGCACGGAGGGATGGTGTTCGCGAATATGAGCGAAGATGTTGGATGTATTGCCTGCTTTTGCAGTCACTTTGCTTCCACATTTTTTGCAAATTGCATCCATCACCAAGGACAACCCCGCGTTCGTTTTTTTTAACATACGAAGTATCCCAGATATTTGATGATAACTTTTTTTTTCGGCGGGGAGATTAGATATTATCTCTGTTTCTGTAATTTTCTCAGGTGCATGTGCGTGTAAGCAGCCAAGTGAATGCAGAGTGAAGCAGCCGAGCAGAAATAAGTTGCATGTGCAGTTGTGAGACATATTAGATTTTTTTCATTCATTAAAATATATATATATATATACCGTAGATATGCAAATGTTTACGGTATGATAACCGTGCACGTTCAAACCGTGATAAACCGTCATATCGTTACAGTCCTACTATACATTTTACATTTCACATTGTTACAACTTTTTTTGTAGAACAACTTTATGCAGGACATAAAGATTTAATTGCATCTGATACATGTATTAATGCTTGGTCTAAACAAATCATGGAAAACAACCTTCTCTCATTCAGTCTTCTGCATGCTTTTATGCCATTATAGTTCACAATACACAAACAAGTTGTAACGAACACCTTGCACATGATATTTGCATATAATGATGTAATCTGTCATCAGAATATGGAAAAGAGCTGTTTTATAAACACAGGCAAGATAGTTGTATGCAACAGTGATGCATATTTTAAAGAGTATCAAAATGAATACAAGTATGTTAATCCTCACCACAGCTGTAGACATGTTCAGTAGTTAGATTATAAGAATTAGAAGTTCATGTGTGTCTCTCTCATTCGTTTTCTCAGTCATCAAGGACAGACCTGCACTCCCACCCAGCAAAGCACAAGCTGTTCTCTCCACTGGTCCAGCCGAAGACTATTCATACAAGAAATCAATCATCAACCTCTTCAAGAACAAGCCATTCATTCTGCTCCTCATCAGCTATGGTGAGAAAGACAATTATTTAATACAAAATTAAAATTCTGTCATCCCTTACTCAAACATATGTCGTTGTTAAAATTGTATAATACTTATTTATTGAAAAGCAAGTGTTTTTGGACAGATTTTCATTTCAAGTGTGCTTGTTGAGCCTTTTGGTTCTTGCAAACAACCCAGTGCCACAACTTAACTAAAAGTAATTATTTTAATTAGCTTGTGGCAGTAATTAAATAATTAAAAACTTAATTAGTAATTATTTTAGTAATTATTGTTCCCTGTGCTTTCGCGCACCATACACCATTCATTATGAGATGATTTGTTATTTCGCCATGTATATGGCTTATTAACTTTAACTTATTAACAGTAATAATACAGTATCAACCCTTCTCTATTGCTACAACTTCAGTTTTATTATGTAGAAAGTTCTGCACTTCAGCAAACATTGCCAAATCTTTTTTTCAACATAATTGTTAAATATTTGATATTGTTTTAGGCATCATGACCGGATCATTCTACTCTGTATCTACACTTCTCAATCAAATGATAATTTTTCATTATCCGGTAAGTGGCCTTTGATAAACTCAGCATGAAAATGCCATGTGCATGTGTGTAGGAGTCTCTCGGCATTTGTCTCAGGCGCACTTGGGTACTGTTTGCTGGGAATGGGCGGCTGGTCACCGATTTATTGTCCAGGCTCTTGCAGTTCATTAGCCTCTTTTCATGCATGCCTGCTACTCATAACAGAGTCCAAATGAAAAGACAAGCACTGTGTGAAGTTTGATGTGTCTGAATGTTCTGCAGGCTTTCCCACCAGGCTTAAGTTTAGTGACCACACACCATGTGATATTTCTTACCGTGCATAACACTTCCATATCTTGTTGTGAGATCCATTTGAAAGAGGTGTCCCTGACAAAAGAATGAATGTTAGTCAAAAGTGTTGTAGACCAGGCCCAGAACACATTCTGGGCTTGGTTGCAACAAATCCCTTAAGCTATGAATACCCTTAGTTGTAATTATAAACAAAAGATCGCTAAAGGTTTTCTTGACTTTGGCCTGGAGGCCTGTTGATCTTGCTTTTGTGAGCTCCCAAAATCCTGAAATCAAAGCTCACTTGAGGACAGTATTACTAGTATGTTTAAAAATGATTGCAATGCTAATTTGAACTCTTAAAAACTCTTTCTTTAGGGTGAAGAGCTAAACACAGGGAGAATCGGCTTGACTTTGGTGGTGGCTGGAATGTTTGGCTCCATACTGTGTGGAATCTGGTTGGATCGTACTAAAACCTATAAGTATGTATATCTGCCAAACCGCATATTATTTGAATTGAATTGAAATGGCTTAAGTATTTAACTCCGGCAGTCATATTAGTGTCGGATTTTGATTATTAGCTGCTAATCTTTTAATCTTTTTCACTAGGTTGAGTATATTTATTTTATTACAAAAATTTCTCTTTTTAAGATGCGGTCACATTTTGGCAAAATATTGTGGACAAACAAGATCCATTTTTATTGTCAATAGTTCAGCTATGTATGAAACACAGTTCAGAAAGTTTTTTAAAGAAATAAATACGTTTATTCAGCAAGGATGCATTAATTTGATCAATTCAGTGACAGTAAAGACATTTATAATGTTATTATGTAACAAAAACTTATATTTCAAATACATTTTAAACAATCTATTTCAAATCAATTCCATTCTTTTGAATGTTCTATTTATCAAATATATATACATGCACACACATACTTTTATTTATGTATATGTATATATTTTATTTTATTTTAATATTTATTGATCAAAAGCAAGTGTTTTAAGACATTCTTGTGAACAATGGCACAGTTCTGTGTGTCAAAACCGCAGAAGTGGTCATTGGTCAGGTTTTGCTTCTCTATTGTTGTTTGATTCACTTAAACATGTTTGTGCATGCCGTACATTAGTGCCTCACATTCAAATAGTTTTCACTGCCAGGTAGGTGTATATGCCTCATGTTACTACAATTCTTTTGGAAAGGTTTTTTATGACTGGTTACCTTCCCATTGGCTTCGAATTTGGGGTCGAAATCACATACCCTGAGTCGGAGGGCACGTCATCTGGTCTTCTGAATGCATTTGCACAGGTATGTATAGGACCTGCTCATTCCTGACTTGTTTCATTTTTGTTGGAAGCTTTCAATTGATCATTTCCAAATGCCATGGTAACCACTTTCAGTTTGAACAGCCTGGAAAGATGCAGATGTTTAGATTCTTCTTGAAAAGTCATTGTTATTTGCATATTTCTGTCTCATACTCTACTGTCTTTAATTTTAGGTGTTCGGCATCATTTTTACTTTCATCCAAGGGCACCTTACCACATACTATAGCCCACTCAGCGGAAACATTTTCTTGTGTGCTTGGATTTTCCTTGGCATCATCCTAACAGGTGAATTTTCCTATTTACAGGCTTTTCTCTCATTAATCAGTATTGTTAGTGAAGAGCATTAAGAAACTTCTGTGTTGTTTCTACAGCTCTGATTAAATCAGACCTCAAAAGACACGGCGTCAATGTGAGCAATATAAACAAAGGACAAGCAGTAAGTCCACCTCATTTTTATTTCCAGTGTTGCTTTTCATCACTTTTGTGAACTAAATATGCCAAACACAACGAGGATCAAGATATCTCAGTGTATTTATACTCAGTTTAGTGCAAGATCAAAGTCATAAAGGACAAAAGCCATGCTGTGTGCCTGAGAAAAGGGGCCAAACTAGTCTATTAAAAAATTTAACATTGGTAGAGAAAACAGGCATTTTGCCTTGCAATATTAGAATAAAATGTAATGTCAAGAAATTTGATTTCTTTATATATATATATATATATATATATATACAGTATATATATATATATATATATATACACTGTATATATGTGTGTGTATATATATATATATTCATATTACATCACATCACATCATATTTTCAGTATGATGTCTTTAAAGAATGTTTATTCATCAACTTTTATTCAGATATTTATAATGTTACACAAATTTCTATTTCAAATAAATGCTGTTTTTTATTTTCTATTAATCAAAGAATCTTGGGAAAATGTATCATGGTTTTCACAAAAATGTTATGCAGCACAACTGTTTCACCATTGATAATAAAAAGAAATGTTTTACCAAATCAGCTTATTAGAATAATTTCTGAAGGGTCATGTGACACTGAAGACTGGAGTAATGATGCTGAAAATTCAGCTTTGCTATCACAGGAATAAATTACATTTTTAAATATATTACTGTAGAAAACAGTTGTTTTAAATTGTATTCCAATTTCCCAATATTATAGTTTTTACAGTATTTTCATCAAATAAATGCAGCCTTGGTGAGCATAGGCGATTTCTTTCAAAAACATTCATAAATCTTACCAACCCCAAAACTTTGAATGGTATTGGATTTGGCTTTCGGTAGCCTGTTGTTCAGGATAAACATTTTTGTCAATTTATTGCTGTCTTTAGGGAAATGCAGGTCTTCATTCCAGGTCTTAATGAAATCTTAATTGAACATGTGTTTGTCTCTCCTGAAGGTTCCCACTGAGCTGCCTTCTGAAAAAGCATCCAGTGACGTCAAGCAGGAGTCTTCTAGCTTACCTTGTGAGACTTCAATTTAAGTCTTAAACGTCTCCAACAGCACAGCAGACATCACAACAGATCACAGACTCTCCTGAGATGACTTGAAATCTCCTTATTTTGCTTTAATGTTATGATATTATAAAGAATTTTCAGTGAAAACAGACAGTGATAAGTGTTCACAAATATGCTGTGAATTAATTTCTCCAAATGTAGGCCGAAATGTGCACATACAGTCTGTCTGTATATGATACATGCATGATACTTTTTATTTGTTTCAAGAATTGTGGACCAAATGTTAGGTATTTAACAGGGCTTGTAATGCCTATATGCACAATCCTGTTAGTGTGATTGGAACAGCATGTTTGTTTGCTTCGTCTCAAAGGACCTTTCTGACTGTGTGCTACTGTGAAGCAGTGTTGTTCATTGGTACATCTGCTGATCATGTAATAATTCCACAAAGGCTATAAATTCTCATTTTATTTTTTCAGGATGATGAAGATTGCCCATATGTTAAATGAAGAGTGTTCTGTAAACCGAAATGATCTTTTATGAAAAATTGAGTGCATGGGTAAACATGTGTTTCAGAAAATTAACTTACCATGATGAGACTGACGTCATTTTTAAGTGCTTATGCAGTCATTGTGAGATAAAAGCAAATTTTGTGTAGTGCTTTTTTGACCTGAAAAACATAAAAGAACATTACACTGGTTTAGTCTTTTCCAGAGAGCACAAATCAATCTGTCAGTATGTGTACCACATTAAGAATGTGTTTCGTTCAAAAAGGAATGTGATCCATTTACAAGATTGTGTCGCTGACAGGCCTAGAGAAGTTTAATGAAAATGTCACACCTCAGATGTGTGGTAGAAAGAAGCACTATTATTATATAAACCTAGGTTTGCCGTTTATTAATTTTTTGTATTTTAGAAGCATATTTATTGGAAAGATAGCTTTTTCAGGATATTTTTTGTATTCATTTTTGGTTTCAATTTGTACTGTTTCTACTTAGTATACTTGTTGGTTAAAGAAGACAGCTGTGCGGACTTGAGTTTCACGTGATTGTCACAAATGATGCTGGGAAATTCACTGTAAAGTAAAACTCTGTGCAAGAACTCGTTTGCATTGCAGTCTGGATACTGGAGGAGTGGAAATGTGTCATGTTTCTATCACTGCTGTTGTAAAATAATAAAAAGAATCTTGTCAAAATTAAGTTATGCTGTTTGCTGATTTAAAAAAAAAAACTTGTTCAATAAAATGTGAAATAATAGACGTAAATATATTGCAAATGTTTGTCATTTAAAACTGTTTTTTTTTTAAAAATGTGATCATTATGATGATTCTCATGCAAAGAACTTCCATCCTAAAATTTGCAATGGCATCTATTTCAGGATATTTTTTGTATTCATTTTTGGTTTCAATTTGTACTGTTTCTACTTAGTATACTTGTTGGTTAAAGAAGACAGCTGTGCGGACTTGAGTTTCACGTGATTGTCACAAATGATGCTGGGAAATTCACTGTAAAGTAAAACTCTGTGCAAGAACTCGTTTGCATTGCAGTCTGGATACTGGAGGAGTGGAAATGTGTCATGTTTCTATCACTGCTGTTGTAAAATAATAAAAAGAATCTTGTCAAAATTAAGTTATGCTGTTTGCTGATTTAAAAAAAAAAACTTGTTCAATAAAATGTGAAATAATAGACGTAAATATATTGCAAATGTTTGTCATTTAAAACTGTTTTTTTTTAAAAATGTGATCATTATGATGATTCTCATGCAAAGAACTTCCATCCTAAAATTTGCAATGGCATCTATGTAGTTTCTTATTTAGATGTACAATTTATACTGAGAAATTAATATCATGAAAGTGTAAAATATTATTCTAACAATATTTAGTTTCCATTCAGTTACATATTTTCTACTCATTACAGTACTGTGAGGTAAGATTTATTTACTGTAATCTAATTGCTATTTCTTTTTTAAAATATTTATTAATTTTTACACTTAAAAATACACAATTTTTCTCTGAATTTTTAATGGGCCTACTACCACTCTCTTGAGGCCACATGAAAATGTTATGATGATTCTCATGCAAAGAACTTCCATCCTAAAATTTGCAATGGCATCTATGTAGTTTCTTATTTAGATGTACAATTTATACTGAGAAATTAATATCATGAAAGTGTAAAATATTATTCTAACAATATTTAGTTTCCATTCAGTTACATATTTTCTACTCATTACAGTACTGTGAGGTAAGATTTATTTACTGTAATCTAATTGCTATTTCTTTTTTAAAATATTTATTAATTTTTACACTTAAAAATACACAATTTTTCTCTGAATTTTTAATGGGCCTACTACCACTCTCTTGAGGCCACATGAAAATTATATATACAGTATATATATATATATGCACACTGTGTATATATATATATAATAAGATTTCTTGAAAGACGTTTTAGGAAGTAACTAAATCTGTATTAAAATATTATGATGACGTTGAACATATAGTTAGTAATTAGTAGGCCTATAAAGTTTACAAGAAAAACAACAATAGATCGCACACGTAAAGCTGAGATTATCTACAAAACAGCACGGAGTATGTACACAGATTCAGCTGTTCAGGCTGAATGAATTCCAAGTCCAGTCTTTGATGAAATGCAAACCTTTAGAAGGGTTGGAGCACTCTCTAGTGATCATACAGGACAGTTGTCATTTGTCACTCATGACTAAAACACCATTCAGTTGGAATTAAATGCGCTTTAGATGTGTTTTATCGCAACAACTGTCTTGTTTGGCTTTTTTGAACTTCACCTTGAAGGAAGAGCAGAAGCTAAAAGCAGTCTGAAATAGTTGGGTAAGATATATTTCTTATTTCAGACACCTAGAGGAGATAGAATTGACAGTCGAAATAGAAATATACTAAAATATAGAAATATACAAAATATATTTAAATAACATAAAATGTTTGATCTTATAAATCATATAAAATATGATCACAGCTAATGAAATAAGCACATATATAAAATTGATACTTTATACTATTTATAAAATAATCATTCGTCAACCTGGTTCAAGCCTTGAAGCCTCTGCTAATGAGCTGATGAGTGGGTACAGGTGTGCTCTATAGGGGAAACATCCAAAATATGCAGCACTGGTTGGAGATGGGAGATATCTGAAAGATGCTTCTGTGCCCGAACAATGAGTAACAGGGCGTTGTTACATACCACCACTACTCAACAGGAATAACAGGGCAACAGGAATAAAACATTTTTATTTTCTTATGAAATTGTAATTAAATATAAGCTAATTTCATATCATCCATATATTTTAGACACTGGGTATTTCTTCTTTATTGGTAGAACGACACTCTGAGTTAGGGTTAATATAGTTAGCTTAACTAACTAAAACCTTAAAAATGCATCACTGTCACTTGAACTAAAATAAAACCGAAATAAATAATAATAAAAAAAAATTCAGCTAGTTTTCAAGGAAACATTTTTCATTTAGTATAACTTTAATGTACTAAAATACTAAAACTGAAATAAAAATGACTAAAAGCTACATAGGCATAAATAATAAAAATAATACTAAAGCTTGAACTAAAATGAAAAAATAATAATAATAAAAAAAGGAGAAGATTCAAATAAAAACTAATTCAAAATAATAATAAAAACCACACTAGTATCTCAATGACACTAAAATAACACTCCTGTGAGTTTTTACTTTCACGTGTTTTGAGGTCATTTTTAACGGAAAGAATGAAAAGGTGCAACAATTATTTTACTTATTAGAAAAAACGTAATGCCCTCAACGTTGGGCATTTTTTAAAATGGTATAATATATTTTTATAGTTTGGGTTTGACATAGTACACTATCACTTTAAATGCACATTTTAAAAGCTCACAAACCCCCCCTGCTGGATACACAACGAAGGTTCACGCCCATTTCCGCCACTTTGGCCAATCACGTGCGGATCTATTGCCCTTATATGGAATTGAACCCGCCTCACTTTGTTGCTTCATCCAATGAAAAGCCAATAGAACGTGGTTGGCTGTAGTTTATGGCGATACAATAACAGTATCAAAAAGCGCTAGAGTGAGTGACCATTGCTGAGACCGTCAGTGAAAGCGGTTACACGCCTTCTCAGGAAATCAGATCATTCATTATTAACATACTCTACAGTCAGGTGTTAAATTATTCTACCGTGGATTATTTCGCCCGTGTTCCCTCCGCAGGAGTCGGACGCCTCATCGGTGTTATGTTCTGTGGCACCCTGAGATCCGGAGCTGATCGCCAACTACAGTATGCGGTTTACTGGGAACATATATGACCATTTCTGATCTGAAGCTCACTCAGTAGTTTGCTACAGATATGGTATCGCTGACCATTTTTCTGCCTTTGGCTCGTTTTCAGACCTCCTGAATTTTTACACTTGAGCAGGACCGAGTGGGTTTTGGCACATTAGTATACATGCTCGAGGCGCAACATGTCTTTGTACATGAGTGCTGGGCAGTCATAACAAAACAAGGGGAAACTCCCCTCCGAAGACTCCTGAACAATGACCGGACCAAGCGCCACCAGCAGCGGCTCAACGGCCAAGAGCAGCAGACACGGTCGGTCTAAGAGCAGCAGTACTTACTGTCACACTACCGGTCCGGCTGCTGAATCCTCCTCTTCCACTGCCGCGAACAACACTGGTAGGTCGTCCGGTGAGGAAGAGGAGAAAGACGGCGGGGTCCCGTTTTTCGTGAACAGGACGGGCTTTCCAATAGACACCGTCACCTGGGACAGAATGTGGTCACATGTCACCAGAGTTCATCCTGATGGACAGGAGATGGTGGATAGAATACGAAATGCAACACACCTCCCTAAAGTAAGTCGAAAGTAGTGGATTATTTATGTAGGCAGTGTCTGAGTCTCAAAACCCAGTGAGCTGTATGCCTAGACAATATTTTGGGTGTCATAAAGATGTCCAAAAATGCTGTCTTGATAATGATACCCCAAAATGTCATGTATATGTGATACACAAAATGTTGATAGGCAGCTTGTGAAAAATGTGGTACCCCAAAATATATAAAAATGCTGTCTAGCTATGGCAACTTATTTATATAATGTCCAAAAGTGCTGCTATGTTTGGCAAGTTACTTGGTTTTGAGAAACAGCCACTGTATGTGTGTTTGTACAGATGTACAGTTAAAAAACAATTGATGCAATGGATAAAAAAAGGACAATTGTCATACAATTGTTTTACGTGTTTCTAGACATCTCGGAAGTACAATGGTACATGACTCTAATAATTTTTTACCTTGGTATATATTAAAGTTTTCATAGATGATACATCACTGTACTATGGTAAACACATCTTCTCTGTCAAAGTAATATTTGACATAGTAACGTACAAAAGTTTGGGGTCAGTACTAACCATTTTTGTTTTTTGTAAGGAAATGTAATATTTGATTTAGCAAGGATGCGTTTAATCGATTGTACGTGTCAGTAATGGCATTTGTGATGATAAAAAGTATCCCGTTTACCACAAAAAATATTAAGCAGCACAACTGTTTTAAACGTTAATAACAAGAAGAAATGTTTCTTGCAAACCAAATCAGCATATTAGAAGGATTTCTGAAGGATCATGCAAGACTGAAGTAATGGCTGCTAAATATTTAGCTTTGCCATCACAGGAATAAATGAAATTTTAAAATATATTAAAATAGAAAATGGATATTTTAAATTGTAATAATATTTCAAAAATATTACTGTTTTTACTGTATTTTTACCCATTACTTTCAAAAGCACACTCACAAAATAAATCAACAGTTGAACCTCAAAATTGGCTTATATATGAAACCTTGGACACATTTACCAGAATAATGTTTATATATAAATAGCATCTCACAAACTGCCATTTGTGTGACCCAGTTTCCACCAAGAGGAAGTGCAGACTATGTGACATGTGAGTGGATTTACACTGTGCTACATTGTCCCTTCTCATAAATTTCATTACAAACCAGGCAAATGAGAGATGTGTTCCAACCAATGACAACTATGCAGAAACATGCCTCTGTTAATGCACATCAAATGAGGAATGATGCCATGTGACATTTTAGGACTTTCACTAGGATTAAGGTTGCTGGCATGTCCCTTTGTCACAATTTTGTTTTAACCTCCAAACATAAACCGATCAGACCTGATCAGGATTCATAGAGCATGCAGATGAAGGGCCTCGGAGGGGAATAAAGTGAATCTTAATCGCAGACTACGTAATCCTCAGTGCTCAGACGGACAGCATTCACAGGGTCAAGCTGTGTGTTTATTCTGGCTCTTTTGTTTTAGTTAACACTATTGTGCATTCCAGCATGCTCATATGTGCTGATGCGTGCAGAACAAAGGCGTCTGATTGGTCGAAAGTGTTGAGTCAGATCCCTAGATGTTGAAGTGATTTATTAAGGGACATTCCCCACCAGCAAGTGTTGAACAGGTGCGTTGAGTGACTCCATCAGATCAACCAGATTAGGAGTCACGCGAACGGCTGTGACACTAGCCAGACATGTTAGAGCCACAGAGTGACAGTCCATGGGAAAGAACTCACTGTGAACCTGTGAATGATCACATTGATGGAGAATCAGAGTCTCCAGGACCTTGGATCCAAGGACACTGCAGTTATTATGTAAACAAACCACATAGGCCACCAGTACAGCGGTGTCCATGCTTGTGCAGTTTAACAATATTCAAAAACTAAATAGAGTATTAATTCTAATTTATAGCACAGATGCATTCCTAAAATCATCTTTTGGGTTTGTTTTTTGATACAATCCATTTGCTCGTGTGCTATTACAGATAATCCACATCATTTCTGTTTTTTTGTCTTGGTAAAAATGAATCCCATCTTCCACAGAATTATTAAGCATGCAGCACAGCTGTTTTCAACATTGATATTAATAAGAAATGTTTCTTGAGCACCAAATCAGCATATGAGAATGATTTATGAAGGACTATGTGTGACACTGAATGCTGGAGTAATTGCTGCTGAAAATCAAGCTTTGCTATCACAGGAATATATTACATTCTAAAAGATATTAAAACAGTTATTTTAAATTGTAATAATATTTCAGAGTGTTACAGTTTTTGCTGTAATTTTTATCAATCAGTTGCATTCTTGGTGAGCATATGAAGCTTCTTTCAAAAACATGAAATCATTTCGCCTACCAAGACCTACCAATAATCCCATTTAAATGGTAGTGTATGCATGCGAAATGTAGCCAATCCCTTGGTTTTTGGATGCAATCCATTTGCTAGAGTGTTATTAGGGATAATCCGCATAATTCCTGTTGTTTTGACAGTTGGGCCTTTATCAAATTGTTTTTGGGCCACTCCTTGACATCTCAACCAAAGGTCCCCTGCTAAAAATGTGTTCTTTATGGTGAAAGAAATACATAAATGAATAATAAAGCCAAAATATTAAATGTCATAATACTTACTAATCCACTATTTCTGAGGCCCTATATGATTCTGTCAAAAAGCATGTGTGTATCACTTTGCATACAGCTGGTACATCTGTTAAAGAGGAATGTCTGAAGAACAAATAATGTGGAAACTAGAAATATATCCTTTTATCAACATACCTGTCCCAAAAAAGATTATTTTTCCAAAGTTTGCGTGACTGTAACTCGGAATGACCCATTTGTTTTCTGCAATGACTTTGTTACTGTAACGACTGAAAAGTGTACATCTGTTCTCTTAGATGGACAAATGTTCTGGGCGGCTTGTATCGTCACCTACAGTATGTGAGTCTCAAGTTTCGCTACAGTCCCACGGGTGGGCAGAGGTCAGCTAACGGCCCTGTGAGTGTGGATTGTGGCCTATTTATTGCTGACCTCCTTTCAGGGAAGGAGATACCCAGTTGAGCCAGTGGAGTAGAGCCTAGATGTAAACGAAACATCTCTCAGAGAATTCAGGCTGTCAGAATCAATATTCAGAGTGTCATTTGTATTCAAAGACACTTTTTGAAAATCAACACCGAACTGAAATCCTGAACATAAATTAAAATGAGAACTGTGCTGTGATTAATTTCAAGCAGTGGTTCTCAACTGCTGGGTTCATGTTCTAGACAGCTGGCAACAGGATGATAAATGTAAACTACCTGAGATTTGAAAGAAGTCTCTTATGTTCACCAAGGCTGCATTTATTTGAT